GTCGCCGGCCTCCGCGGCCCCCCTGTTCCGGAGCAAGCAGTACTCGGACAGGCCGAAGTCCGAGAGCTGGGGGGTGCGCAGGGGGTCCGGGGCTGGGCGCGCGCTCTTCTCCGGCGTGATGCACGGCGGCTTGTCCTCCTCCGCGGCCACGGGCTCTGTCCCGGCCTCCTGCCCGCCGGCACCCTCGCTCCTCTTCCCCGGCCCCTCCTCGCCGCCCTGCCCTGCTGGCAGCAAGAGAGAGCAGAGCCACCCCCTGGTGTAAAGACACACCTCTCTTCTTTTCATCCTTCAGCTCTCAAACACTGGCCAACAACCCAGTGACACCCGGAGAAGGCTCTACAGCCGAAACGCTACTGTACGTCTCCTTTCTTTTCCTTTCAGCACAGAAAAAACCTTCACCTGTTGGTTTGCAGCCTACGCATGCTGACTTAGCTCCCTACTGATTTCGTCAAGACGGTCTCTTATCGAGAGTGCTACTGAATTGCTTCCCTGAAGCGCTCCTTGTGTGTCCTCTCTGGCTCTGCAGATGTTATCTATCTCCAGCCGTTGGGAAAGCTGGGGTGTGACAGAGCAGCGAAGCCCCACTGGGGAACTGGAGCGCTGGTCACTCGGGCTCTTTCCACATCACTTCGTCACCTGCATCACTGAGGGATCTCACAGGAGCGCCTCGTCTTTCCCTTATTGTAACAAAGTGCACATGAAGAAAACGCCAACATAGCACATGGCATGCACGAGGTAGGGATGTCAAATAGAAAACAACAGGAAAGGAGCAGGAGATAAAAGCTGTCTTGTGAATCAGGTTTACAGAAATCTGATTCAAGGCGAGGATGACTGTCTGGTGCAGTCATGGAAGAGTCGGGACCACTCTGAATTAACCCTACAGCCTAGAGACTACAGACAATCAGTACAGCGTAATAATTAGATTTAAAAAGTGATTACAAATTCTCTCTCTCGTCACTGGAATGAACACTGCATTTTTGAACAAAAAGGAAAGCTCGGTCTGGCCCGAGACAGACACCTTCTGGGTTCTTTGGCGGGGGTGTGTAGCCGTAGTCTTCAAAGTGTCTTCTCACTTTCCCAATGTCCTCCCTGAGCCTCTGCCTCAGGACACTGCTTGTGCTGATGAAGTCTCTCACACCCTCTTCCTCAGGCTGACAGCCGAGCAGCTGGGTTCGGACCTGCTCCTGGGCTCGGGAAGAAAAGGCCGCAGTTAATGTCCTGTCCCTCTGGGAAAGACAAGCTGTGCAAGGGTGGAATATCTGACTCAACCTATATCATCATCTGTCATCAATGTTACTGTCAGCTTTCAAATTTCATTTGTTTCACAAAACAATTTATCAAACCAAGGGACAACATCAATATAATCATGCTATTAAACAAAACATGTCAACTGTTTAGATGGATTGAAAAAACATTTAAGCTCTTTCAATATTAATATGCCGGATTGCCCAGGAACATTATTTTTTTTTGCTTTAAATGAACACTACTGCCTTCTAAAGGAACTGAATTGCTAGATGCCATTAATAAACAATTTATATTTCAAATAATACTCATCAGAACTACTTTAAATAATAAACATACTTGTAAAAAACTACGGTATAGAAATGCAAACAGTTTCTCAAAGCCACTGGGAAGAGTTATCTCAGCCTCCTGTGAATCTTTAATCAGATGTTACTTACTTTCATAGCTCTGACTTCTGAATGCAGTTCATGCAGAACCTGCACACCTCCTTCATCACTGTCTGAAAACAAACACAGGCAAAGTTCAGTGAGGCTCCAGGTCTATTGCATGAGCACTGCCTTGTCCACGTAATGACGAGCCAAGAATAAGTCAGCACATAATGACAAAAACATAGACAACATTGTCCTAGACTGGTTTCTCTTTTTGTTTTTACTTTAATCGCATTAGGCACCTGCATGAGAACCGAGAAAACGAAACCACTGTGACATGCAACAGATTTTCAGTATAGGGAAATATATATTCGGTAAAACATATTTTGCATATTTATTCAACTCGGTGTAAAAGAAAATGTGTACATTTCACAGCAATCAGGTCTTTCCCAAATGGAACATTGCTGATCACTCCAATAGGTTTTCAAGAAAAACAAAGGCTAACAGTGATTCCTCCCTTCCTCTTTCAATATACAATCAAGCATATTAATTAGGGATATTCAAGTTACATGGGATGCCATCTCTGGACAAGATTAATTAACACCCTTGATCCTTCTTACACAGGTGACTGAGTTAATCAGTGAGAGGGTGCAAGCGATGGCCGACTCTATACGCTCCATCTTCCCTTACTGCAGTGCACACTTGAACACCCTCACAACAGCTGCGCACAGACCATGTCCGGCTAATCACAGTACCATAGTCGTTGTTCTGGTGAGCCTTCTCAAGATTCTGGGTTTCAGTCTCCAAAAACACCACCAAATCGCGCAGCCTCTTGAAGAAGTGTCCTGAAATATCCATTTCTGAAAGGAAAAATAATCCAAATTAATGAATGATATGATCTAAAAGGTAAGAGGCGTCTACTTCAGGTTATGTTTCAAAGGTAATAGAAAATACCAGTCCCTAATGGAAACCCATCTCTGCTCTTTGAGCATGTCTAATGAGATCTCCCAGGTTTTCACTACCAATCACAGTGGGAGAACTGAAGCCTGCGATTCTTCTTTTCATTTTTAACATTTTATCCTCTTCCTCAAGTTACCATGCCGGTACACAGCTTTACATCTCAGTTTAAGTCTACAGGCTGCATTGTCAAAGACCATGTGTCTCAGTAGGACCAAAATACACTTCATTTTCGCCTCTATTTTCAATTGAAAACCAAATCGAATTCACAGCGGTCAGTTGTAAATTAAGACGGGTGTTCATTTTTTTTCTTATTTATCCAAATACCCCATTTGAAGCAAAGTTTGGAGGAAAGCTAACAGGTGTAAATATTTGTAGCACGTATTGTAGCAGCCGTCATTAATTACAGAGCACAAAGCTCTAGCACACATCAGCAGGGAGACCAACTCGGCATTTATTAACAAATCAATTCGCTTATATCCGAAACGACACAAAACAAGGCCAGATATCGCAACGTCTGAGGACATCTCAGACATTTTGGTTTGGTAGTTTTTCTAAGCCACTAAAGCCTGTATATAAACTCTGAAATAACCACCCCTTTCTTTCCAGGAATAAAAAGCCAGTTGAATTACTGTACCTAAATGTTTTCACCCTCCGCCAGCACAGCTTTGAATTTCGCGCCTCTTCCGGGGTACCGTTAAGCCCCGCCCCTCGCGTTCACAACAGAAACCTGCTTTTGCCACACTGATTTTATTCCAACCTGGTCTTGAAACGTCGCTTCCTTTTTTGAAAACGGGAGCTATGAAAATACAGCGAACGAAAAATAAAACAGGCAAGTCATTTTGAAAAGTATGTCGTGTCGTCCAGTGCGCAAGCGCAATTGGGCTCCCACCCGCATGCCCGGAGCTCCGGCGCCTCCCCGGGTCTGACCGCTAGAGGGCGCCACAGTGCGAGATTCGCTAGACTGATCCGGAGGGGAAGGTTTATTATACTGTACACTAAAATGAAGTGGTCTTGGAAGAGAGACATATTTGAACAGTTTAATGGACATAAGGGCATATCTACAAACTATTTCTAAATTTAAGAATGTGAAAGCCGCGCGTACCTTATTTTTACGTATCTTTAAAAACCTTTTTTTGCAAGATGCACGGTGTTATGTGCCCCTGGTAAAGTTATATGTACTCTTGTGTGTATTGTGAATATTATGTGAATATGTTATTGCAATAAAAAAAGCATGTAAAGTTACACTACTACGGGACACATATTTCATTTTATCGGCACGAGTGTGTTTTTCAACTAAAATTGTGCAGCATCCCCTTTAATTTGAAAACAGAAAACTACACAGACCGCTCTTTTATTTGATGTGATGTTTAATTGAAGGGAATTTCTTGAAAAGAGTTGCGAATTCCCGGTCTATCCCGGAAATCGCGGCGATGAAACAGCAGCAGATAACAGGTCAGCCTGGTGTTCATCCCCAGAAAGTTTCTCTCTGTTCTAGAATAGTTGTGATATGGCCCCGATCTTTATCTTTGCCAATTACTTGTAATCCCCCGATGTTGTTGCTGCTGTCAAAGGAAGAAGAGTGCAGTGGTGTGGCCATGTAATGAGGAGAGATCAAAACCTCATACAAGACCTAGACAAGACCAGAGGAAGGCCTGGGATAAGATGGCTCAGGTGGGCGGCTGCGTCAGCACACGTAGTCTGCAGAGGAACAAGTAAAAGGTTCATTCCTTCCTGACAGGAGAAGGGAGAAGACACCACGTTTCGGCTGTGGAGCCTTCTTCAGGTGTGAGCACACTTCCACACCTGGTGTGAACACACTTTCACACCTGAAGAAGGCTCCACAGCCGAAACGTGGTGTCTTCTCTCTTCTCCTGTCAGCCTAGAATAAGATGGCTGGACTCGGTGAGAGAAGGAGGAGACTGATGTATACGCCCGGAGAGACGGGATGCGCTGGAGGAGGCTAGTGACACGGGTTCGAGACGCCACCTCAGTAAACCGGTATTACCTGTAATCTGCCCAGTGTCGGGAACACTGAGGTGCAGCCATCCCGATTCATTCACTTGTGATCATTTATGGATCATTATTTGGAGCGATCATTTAAAATGCTCGCTGTGTTGGAGGTCGCCAAGGAAGTATACTGTACTCGAAACGTGCCCAGTGCAACCACTGTTTCATTTCATTGTATAATGGACATCGGTTTCAGTCGTGCCTGAGTTTCATCTGCTAGGGGAGAATTGTTTGATAAACCTTTCTCACTCTCTTTGTCCCCTTATCAGACTTGGCGAGCCTGGAAGCCAGTTTACTCCACTGTCAATAAAAGAACAGCAAATATACTTCAAGGACAGTGAAAACATTCTTAAGGTGAATGCGCTGAGAGTAAAACTGTAGCCATTATTAGACGATCAAGAGTGACACAGTTTTGGTATCTTTGATTCTTCTTCATTTGTAGTTGATTTTTTTCATAACTTACTGAATTGCTTTCTTTAAATACATTATTTATATACAAAAGTAATTGGTTGGTTTGCTTTGCTCTCACAGAAAAGGCAGCAATACTAATCACTGTACCAGCAGGCTGCCTGTTAAAGCCCGCAATGAAAAAGAAAGCAAGCCCAGGATGTTCTGTAGTGGAGGAAAATTCAAGAGAAAAATCACTACGAAATAAGAGCCTGAATCTAGAAATTAAGACTACTGCTGCTCTACTGTACTATACTCGCCGTATTCCACCTATACGCTGGAAGGATACCCTAGCGTTGAGTAGACTAGACCAGCGCTGAAGGGTGGCAGGAACCTTCAGGGTTTCTTACAAACACTGCTGGCGTCAGTGTGAGGTTCTAACACACATGGTCTTACAACGCTTTGAGAGAGAAGTTTGAACATGTATTTATAGCCAGTGTACATTTTGATGTTGCAGAGACATAATTAAGCGGAAAATGTCCTGTGGAAGAAAAGCTCTCTTCCTAAGGTTTGCACGCCCCGCTAATCTCATCCTAACGTTTTAGATCATGTTTAGCCTACTGTACATTGAATCGTTTCTTTCATATCTAATATCTTGCGCACTTGAATTAACGAAAGGTGCACGAAAACTGTAGTACATGGAGGTATTTCCAGGCTGTTTTGGAAGGGCACCCTGCGGAGGAACGTGTGACTGTGCTGATTAAACAAATATCTGGCAGCGACCGGAGATAAGATCTTCAACCAGTCAAGAGACCAAGGCTCCTTTGTTCAGCAAACACTATAAATATAAAGGACTGGCTGAAGGTTAACTCATTCCAGCACTCTGGAGAAAGGCACGGTAAGTGAATGCATGACTTTTTACACTCGAAAAGTTCGCTAACACGTAAACGTGTGACTTGAAATCCTTTTATCTTGACGCCTGCTCACCCACAAGGCATTTCGCTGTGTTAGTCCTTCTTGGCTGCAGCTCCAGCAGCGCCACAAGAGGAGAACCTTTGCCTCAAGGGAAAGCCTGGTGGGGGGACGTGTGAAGTAACCTGTCTGAACGAGCGTCTCTCCCCCCCCCCCCCCCCCATGTGTTGAAGCGGGCGCAGTGAACGAAGCCCCCTCCCGCGCGCCATGGCTCTGTTCGGAAAGGTGCTGGAGCCCGTGGGGTACATGCAGACCATGCGGGCCCTGGTGCTGGGAGTCTGCTCCTACCTGGACGGCAGCGCCAAGCCCGACGAGGTGGACTTCGTCAAGAAGAACTTGGACCTGATCGACCGGGAGCTGGGCCGCGGGCGCGGCCTGCTGCGGGACGCTGAGGTGCACGGCTTCGAGGACGACGTGGTGGTGGTGTACTGCCAGCTGGGGGCGGTGCTGAGGGCCGAGCGGGAGCACACCAAGCGGGAGACCGAGGTCTTCCTGCAGTACGTGGCGGAGTACCGCCTGGAGAGGCAGCTGACCGCCCTGTACAGCCGGCTGATGGGCATCTCCGTGCTGACCGACCAGCCCACGCTGCTGGAAGACATCATCAGGAGCTACCGGCCCAGGCGCTGGGAGATGAGGGAGTTCTGCGAGAAGGTCAGCCTGTTTAACCCTGCGTGCTAGAGATACGCCGTAGTGATCTTTGCGTTCGCTCTTTACTTCCGTTGAGGGCATGACTTCTAAGCTAACCAGCCTACTACCAAGACCGATCATGCTCAAAGTGTCTCTAACCAGAAAGAGCAGGAAAGTCTCGAAGTTATTCACACAAAAGAGCAACAGTCAAGGACACAAAGTGTACACTTGTAATGGGAAAATTATAAATGACATGTTAGGTCAATTTTACTGCTACTGCTGTATATCATTATTGAATAGAATTTTATTGTGATGTATTTGTAGAGCGCTTTTCATTCTCCAGGGTCCCAAAGTGCTTTCCTTCCACTCACAGCCGGTCTATAGCAGCCACACTGTACAGCAGTGGGGAAATTAGAGAGGCCAGTTACGCAAGTCCAAAGGGTCATTTGGCCTTGATGCTGCTCTCTTGAGTAGCGTCATGGGATCTTTAATGGGTGTGTAGTCAGAACCTTGGTTTAACTCATCCGAGAGACGCTACAGTGTTCGCCTCGCAGCACAATGTTGAGCATTTCTGCTTTTTCGTTTTTACATCCCCATCTAATGATAGATTAGTGTCATAAAGTTATGACAGCAAATTCCTAGTGTATTCTGACCTCTTTGCATAGACATAAGCCTTTAATCAATCCTTAATTTAATCAGTTTGTGAAGGCATTCTAATAACAATTGTAATCAGATGACTAAGTATTATAATCACATAATAAATACTGACTGAATTGTCAATTATTTAAAAATGTTACCTTAGAATGTCTACAGAACAAGAAAGTAATGTTTATGATGGTTTTCTGCCACAGCTGAATAATAATTATTCATCAGGAAAACCTGAGAGGTTCTTGTCAGTGAGATCTGTCTAAAACAGCTCAATTCTTTTCTTATTCAAACAATGAATTCAATTAAGTAATTAAGATCAGATTTGTAATGAAAATTAGAGAACAGGACAGAAGACAGAAACTGAAAAGGCAAAAATTCCCAAATTACACAAAGGAATGTAACCATGATTCCCTGCAGGTGGTGCACAACTGACAGGGCATCGCTAGGGTTTAGTGTTGTCAAAACACCAGGATTGCCAGGCAACAGCCACCACTGGGGTCAGAACCACATCACTCCTCCAATCGATGGCTACTGTGCTGCTGGCACTTTTGGACTCATTCTTGGTAGTAAGATTCTTAGTTGCCCATTAATCCATTCTGTTTACAGGTGAACTTTGTGCTGGGGACGGGACTGCTGTGCCTTTTCACCCAGGCCTCGTTGACTGGGAGGGACCAGGCCTTGCTCATGAAGACCTGGTCTGAGAAGATGTCTGCCCTCTACAAGAAAATGAAGGCTTCCGGCTGCCTGTGCTCAGAGTATTTCCGGGAGCAGGCAGAAGAGGACATCCAGAAGCACATCCAGGAAGGGAAGAAGAACAAGAAGACACCGGAGGAGCAGGCCGCGTCTATCCTGAAGACGCTGGAGAAGAACTACGACTGGCTGCGCTGGGCTGTGATGGTGCACCAGGAGTGCGCGGAGGAAGGGGAGACAGAGGTGAAGAAGCCGGAGAACTTCATCTCCGTTGGCGAGCCCTCTAGCCTGCATGTGGTGGCCTGCTACAGTGATGGGCCCTCCTCTCTGGACAAGAGCCGCATCCACCAGCTCATCGTGGACCTGGAGTGGAAGATCCCCAACCCCCCTCCCGAGGTGTACGCTGCCATTGAGGAGGAACCCCGTAAAGCGCGCAGCTATTTGGCTTCCCGCATGCTGCAGAAACTGCAGGAAGGGCTTGGCGACGGCATCTCGGTGCACGTGGTGCCGAGCAAGATGGAGATGAAGTGCAACTTCCCCCAGGCCTCCTACTACCTCTATGAGTACAAACACCGCCTTGCCTCAGGCACTCTCTGTGTATTTGGATAGAGAGCAGAGTCTCATCGTTTCTTCAGTCTTTTAATCAGTTTATCAGATGTTTTTGCCTGGTCTTTTCCTAATATGCTGTTTCAGATATTTTTAATTTTAAATAAAGTACCACAAATCCCCATCCCTGGTCTTCAGGTACATGAATGTTTTGTATGACTTTGTGTATTTCAGTGTTATCAAAAATGCCACATTTTTTTTACTAAGTTAACATAAAATACTATTTCCAAACTCAAAGGGAAAAATTTCAATCAACAGAGCCTGTATGTTTTTTTTGCTAGTTATGTTATCGGTTGGTATGGTTTTGTACTGATGCAGAATTCTTTAGCACTGGTAATTAACACTTTGCGGAATGACCAATAAGTTATACCATGACACATAAGTAAACTGTATTGTCTGTTAAATTTGCAAGATCTATGATGATCGTACCACAAATACTTGCACTGAAAACATTTGGGCTATTTCAGTACATAGCAGTGACTCTAGATTGAAATGGATAGAACATCCATCCTTTTCTAACCACTTTCTCCCAGACAAGGTTGCAAGGACGTCTGAGCCTGTCCCAGCAAACAACAGGCGCAGGACAGGAAACACCCTGGACAGAACACCAGTCCATCACAGGGCAGACACCAGTCACAGACACGCACACACTCACACCAGGGTCAAATTTCCCAGCTAACTGACCCACCAGTAAGTCTTTGGACTGTGGAAATCAAAGCACCCAGAGGAAACCCCCATGAACACAGGGAGAATTACAAACCCCTCCCAGGAACTGAAGCCAGGACCCCAGCGCTGTGAGGCCTGCACCATCACGCCGCCCTGTTTAGAATAAATGACACAACACACACAACATACCAAATGAAACTTTTATTTTAAAAGGTAATTTAACTGAATGTGTTATATAAAGATTGTCTGCACAACTTTGAAGGTAAGCTGTTAAAAACTATTGCTGTTTATTTCTTTTTCACTGTATTTTTTATTTAAATAATGAAATCAATTTTTATTCCACATCATGAAAACTGATGAACATTTCACATTCTTAAACACTTGTCTCCCCTGCTGTATCTTTGGTAACACACTTGAGCAAAACCTGCTGTTCATGTTTAATCTGGGATTCTGAAAGAAAAGAACATTAATATTTTTATTGAAAAGAATCATAAGACAATATGTCATTTTGATTCAAATAAATACATTTGTTTCTTGATATAAATAAAATCCAGCAATGCGGTGTGCTGCTTACACAGGTTCTCTTAAATAGAATAAATAATAATTGCAAAAGTACAGAATGTTTTTTATCATAAATGGATTGGTTTAGAAAAACTAAAGAACCGCTTTTACTTAAAGGATCAATAACCAAATGAAACACACTATAAATTATATTAAATATTGGCATTTAAATGTTATAATAAAAGTTATTTTTTTTAAAAGAAAAATATAAACCACTCTCGCTACTGGCATGGAAGATATTCAGATGACAGTATATGCATGCAATCCTCCAGAAACTTGTACTTTCATTATTCACTTCTTGTTCACATTGCAAACCTAAAATTTCCACATTTCTGAAGCAGATGTCTGATAGAGGGGTGGCTAATTTCTCACTAAAAACTTTCATAATTTGCAGTTACCCCACCAAACCAAAGACATTGTTGTTGACACAGAAAGTCAAGAAAAGCCTTGAGACTTCAAACACACCTAAACCCAACCAATTCTTCTTACTGTGTACTGTAATAAGGAATCACAGTGGTCACTGATCTGCATACCTTTCTGGAAACACTATAAGGAGTTAAATACTGTACCTGCCATCTTGTGAACTCACCTCTTAAATACAGGAGTCTCTCACGTGCAGTCTTCTCCAGTTCCTCTTTTATTTCCGGGAATCCCTGCAGGATCCTCCAGAAGCACTCCGAGGAGAGGGAGAAGACTTTACACAGACTCAGGGCTCGCACTGTTGCAGTCCTTTTGCACTTGGTAAGGAGGCATATTTCTGAAATGTTATAGGATTAGTGACATCATGTCATTGACCACAAAATCAGTGTTGCGCTTTAGATAGTTTTTTTTTTAATTTATTTCAGTAATCGGTAAAAATTATGTTTTATATACTCAAAACTATATAAGAAAAGGCTCTGATGTATTGATTACAGAAAAGTCCAAATATGCTGAAATACTATAGAATTATATGTATATCACGTATGCTTTTATGCTTTCCTTTCAAACATGTGCTTTAACATAAAATGATAGACAGTTTAAAATATTCAGCAACTACTATTCATTCGTAAACCAAATCAAAGTAAACCCCACAGTCTAATTTTCATCTCATTATTAAAAGTTCTTTAAATGCCTACCTCCAAAATAATCCCCATCAATCAGCTCTTTCTTGAATGTTGGTGTTTCTACAAGGACTTTTCCATGCCCAATGAAGAACATACGGTCTCCAGGAGCATTCTGACGTATGATAATATCCCCTTCCTGGAATACTTCATACTTCAGTCTCAGGAGCACAGCATTGATGAAATTTATGTCCCGATTCTTGAAAATTGGTACACTGTTCAGGAGATCTGCACACAGGATGTTTAGAATCTCCTGTACGTCATGAAAACATGAATTTAAAAATGTCAGAAATGTCTCCATCTCTGTAAATCTAAGCTTGTGGCAATTATACTATTATACTAGCAATAGGCTGCTTTTTACCATCTGTGAAGTACTATGACAAGTTGTTATGAAAGGGTATCTGGATAGCATCACACTACTTGGATGATTATGTTTGTACTGCACATAAGACACTTGCATGATGGCTATATATCCTTTTATAATAATTTGAAATAAAGTGTTGGTTATTTAATATTAACTGAAAATATTAGACATGAATGCAAATATTGAGTCCCTAATAAAGAGAGCTCTGTGATGAAATGTACAAGAAATACAGTTACATTTATAAATACTTTTTCTCGTGCAATCTATGACATTTGAGAAATGTTCATTGATGTAGTTGGATAGGTACTATCCTTTAACACGTTTATGACAAGCATGTGTATATAAACAAGAAGAGACACTGAAAACTGAAAAACAGAAACGTAAGTGTGGAACACTTCAGGTTTGGGGTGGGGTGCAGGAGAGAGCAGGAATTTGAGAATGAAGAGAGAAAAGAGAAAGAATGTGGGAACAGAGGGAAAAGGGAGAAAGGTTGTTCAAAGAAATGGAAAACCAGGAGACGTAGTCCTAGGTAAGTGTGGAAGGCAGAAATATTTTATTATGTGAATGGAGAGATTTAGAAAGGAATTATTTGATTTTTGAGAGTTTGGGGAAGGTGTGAAACTAGTTTAAGGATTATCTTGACTTCTGGTATTCTAGAGAGTAGGATAATTCAAATCACTGTGAAAGGACAGAAATTTCAGAGTAATCATGGTCAGGAGAGATAAAATGAACTGTTGACTGGGGTAGATTTATGCTCACTGCTCTGATATTTTCCCTGAAATGGCTGGCTAGTCGTGTAAAAGCAAGCTACTTTTAGCAAGAGGTCCAATAAATGAGATAGACAAATCCTGGACAAAAACCTGCTACCCTCTGCCAAAAAGCTCAAACTGGGAAGGAAGTCTGGCTTGCAACAGGCTAAATAATCCAAAGCACACTGCAAGAGCAATAGTGGAGTGGCTTAAAATGAAATAAATACAGTAAATGTCCCTGAGTGAGTCAGTCAAGAGTCCCGACCTTAACCCCATCGTAAATCTGTGGCAAGACCTCAAACTTGCTGTGCATTCGGCTCCCCAGCTAACCCGACCCAGCTTGAGTAATTTGCAAATACTGCTTCATCTAGGTTTGCACGTTAATAGATCCTTATCCAAAAGAATGACTGGCTGCAATAGCTGCCAGAGGTGGTTCACAAAGTATTGACTTAGGGGGATGAATTTTAATTTTTAATTAAAATGTAACCTAATTTATGGTTTACCATTATCTTTCTTTCTTGGGGGGACTCTGTGAAGGTGAATGTGTAAGAGTTTAAAGTGTGAAAAAACGGATGGGGGCTGAAAACTTACCTAGGAAGCTGTAATGAAAAATTATTCTTTGCATAGTATGAGGCGTGTAATGTACACAAAGTTTAATTCCATGTTGAAAAGAAGAAGTAAGAGAAATACACAATGTTGTAGCCCTAAAGCCCTTTGTTTTTTCCAGGCTGAATTAAGCTCTGCTTGTTCCTTTTCAGCCTACCTATTGACCCAGCTCCTCACTCCAGCCCCATCTGAATTACATGCTATACTAAACATTCATTTTACTATAAAGCTTGATAAAATTAGAATAGTAATGTACAATAAAAATCAAACTGACCCCAAAGGCATGGTAAGTGCCTTTTGCATCTGACATATTTTAACATTACTGAAGCAAGATGGGCCAGATATTCTACTCTCGTTTGTGACAGTTTCCTTCATTCTATTATTTTTAAACACTTAATAGAATAATGTAATTGTCTAATTCAGCCATTAAAATTACAATGAAACATGCGGCCATACCTCTCTCAAGGATTTAGAGACAAGATTCAGAATTTCTGACTCATCAAACCACTTTCCTTGGTGTCGGGCCTGGTAATAATTAGAGATCCGAGTTCGTAGATCCCTGGGCAGCTTTCTATAGGTCATGTAATCTTCTAGGTAGTTAAACTGTGGAATGTGAAATTCACCGATAACATGGTATACAAGTATACAGGTATATTATATATCAGTCAGATACTGATAGAAATATTACATACAAACTGAATAGTAACACAAACTTAATAATAGGTATTTAAACCTGGCTCCATCTCATTCAGTAGCCACTTTATCCAGTTTACTGTAGGTTAGTGGGGCTGCTAGAGCCTATCCCAGCAAGCAGAGAGAGCAAGGCAGGGTACACCAAGTCCATCTCAGGGAAGACGCTTGGACACAAACACGCACACACACTCACACCAGGGCCAATCCTCCAAAAGGCCAATTAACCTACTAGAATGTGGGACTAAACCGGAGCACACAGAGGAAACCCACACAACAAAGGGGAAAACATACAAACTCCTCCCAGTACTTCAGTTTTTCTTCAGCAATGATATCACAAATATGACCTATGAAGATGCACGATAATTAAATACCTAAACATACCCTATTTCTATAGGCTTTTGATGGTGCATCAACATTTGTCATCATTGCTGCCACATTGGCTACCATCATGGTGTACATCAGAGCTCCTGAAACCATGCTTGTCATGACCACCCAGAGCTCACCTTCACCTGCAAGATGAAACAACAATTAAACATCCTCCAGAAAAGACTTACTCTAATGCCCCTCCTAAGGCAGTGGATGTGTGAAATGTATCATGTAATTTGTCTTCTAATGCTTTCATATTAACAAATTGATTAATTCTATAACATAACATTGCAATATACAGTTAAAAATTAATATACAATTTTTGCCTATAAAATATCTGTTTATATACAACTTGATTTGGCTATGATTTACAGCAGATGTATTTCCCATGATGAAAAACGTGCTACTTGCTACATCATGGTTTCAATGTTATTCAAAACATTAATGATTTGTTTCCGTTAATTTTTAATCTGACTCTTGCATAGATTTTAGTGTATGGAAAACATTAATTTGTGCAGGTGAAGGAGAGAAATTGACATAGCTCGTATCGTGAAGAAATGGATCTGTTTCACCTGTTGGCGGGTCAACTGAACCATACGATATCCCGATCATGTGTGAAAGAGCACGAAAGACTCCAAAGGAGTACTGCTCTACCCAAGAAGCATTCTGGAAATCACAAGAGAGAAACAGAGACGCATCTGCTGGATTTCATTTTTTGGAGTTTAACCCAATATTCACATCTCCTTTTTCTCTGCTTTTGTCATTATTCACTTACTGCAAGGTTAAGCAACATTTACTGGCTGATGGAAACACATCCCAACAGGAATCCCTATTTAAACACATTCACAAATCTAAGTCAATAAGCAATGCTACTAATAATTGCATGAGCGCTGGTTTTACAGACTACAAGATGTGGGGTGAAATGTTTTCCTTTGTTTTTAAGTAGTCTTGGGTTCCTTAGACCCCTGGTCAAAACACTATTATTCATACCATATACCTGTAAATAGGACACAATTATTAGTTAACAGATAACACGAATTTAAAATGTTCAAATCTATTTCAATTTCTTCATCTTGCACACAATGATTGCTAAACTACACCAACATGCTGAATCTCACATGGCAGTAACATGTTAAGCTCCTGGAAAAAAGAATGACCTGCTTACCAAGCTTCAGCACCAGTTCCATGTATCCTACGACACACAAGCTTTTGAGAGACCAAGAGGTACAAGCTGCACCGACGCTGTACACCCCTAATACCATAAAAGCTCATGAGCTGGCAGTGTGTGACTTGTGTTGTGCAGCACAATCATACTCTAAATAACAGGTTTTCTTTGCATTACTCGGCTGCCCATAAGAAACAAACCACATAGTTTCCAGGGGATTTGTTTGCAATCACAGAAAGTTACATCAACCTTTCCTTCATAAGAATGTCGGCAACAAACAGTTGCTTCCATGGAGTAGGTGTCTGTACATCCAGATTGCTGCTAATCTCGAACAACTCTTACCATTATGACAGGCGATGGCAGGAGACCTCGATGATCTGGCAGTAAATGTCATCTAGTATTATGTCTGTCATACATGCTGTACACCTTAGTGTTTGACCTCATTTGCACAAGACCAGCCAAATATCCTGCAGACTAGGAATGACTACAGACAGGTGGTGTGATGCTAGGATCATGATGAATCTGAGCATGGTATTACAGTACACCAATTAAACCCACCGGGGTCATTTTTGACTGGGATAGAACTTATTACATAATGTATTTATGCAGCCTTTCATACAAAGAGAGAAAACTTATATGTTTGGGTTTTTGCAAGTTGTTAGAAATATACTGCAATTACTTCAGTCTCGTAGTCCATACCGTGAGGTTCTCTTTGACAACCCAGCAGTCTTTAGGAAAATTCTGTAAAACAGGAATGAAGAACTGTATGCAGCCATTCCAGTGGCACAGAAGCAGGATCATGGAAAACAGACATATAATCCGGATGAACAGACGTACTGCTTCCATGTTTGCATTGGAAACCTACCAAACAGAAGAACAGGCACACAAATGTGAGTAAACAGGCACTAACATGAAACCAACTAGGTGTTCAACAACAACTCCTGCACTTACTCTTTCCCATTCATTAAAGAACCTCATGAGCCGGGACACACGGAGCAGTCGAACCAGACTGAAAATTCTGGCAAACATGATGATCCGCACCAGTTTCGAAGCAGAATACGAAGTGGTGTCGCTTTGGTGTTCTATTTTCTAGCAGATGAAAAAAATATGTTCTTTTTATTTTTTCTTTTATCATGAAATCTCAATGTATACAGTATTGCCATGCATGACACAAAAAATACATTACCTCTATGATGAGTGCAAGATAGTCAATGGGAAAGGCAGAAATCAAGTCCAGGGCAAACCATGTTTTAAGGTAATGGTTACGGATTTCCTTCGGATTTAGTATAACCACCTACAAATGACAAATACCAGCAGCACATTAATCATGCTTCTAAGAGTGTAATAGTTGTATAGATTAAATTAATGACTAAAAATACAATTAAAATGAAACAAAATTCATTCAAAATTATTTATTTATGCAAGATAATTCAAACATATTGCAACATATGCAAAAATGTGATATTGCTGTGCTCATTTCACTGAATATTTTTTCTTTTTATGAAGAAACAATCCTATAGTGATTTTATGCTCAAGAAAAGATATTCTTTTAGAAAAATAAAGTATATGGACTTTGGTACTGATTAAATGCTTCGGTGTTATTATGATTAATTGATCATGAATGACTGACTGAGGTATACTTCAGTGACTTTGTTGCATTACCACTAATTCACCTCTTAGTGAGAAGGTTGATTGGGCTCAAGTGACGAGATATTTTAACCTACTGAATGTCAAGCCTGGTAAGAATAAAAAAGAAGAACAATGCTTTTATGCCATGGGTATGCTGGAGCTACATCTTAAGTGGACTTAAGTGATGAATCAAGTATTTGTACAGAACACCCAGCCAGATGTCACCGAGAGAGAGTAATGCAGACATGCAGAATTCTATGCTAATTGATGTTTACAACAGGCTACCGAATGGTCTACTGCATGATGCTATATTGATCCAGACCTGAGACTTCATTTACTGCTCTTCCTACAGGCTCATCCTGACGTGACAACATTCTAGCAGGACACTGCATGTTCCCATGATTCTTATGCAATATCAACTTTTTTTGTGAGGGGAGAGTGCGAGAGTCATGCCATCGTATACCCTGCTCACCGGGCGCGAGCCCTGTTGAATATCTGTGGGACAACCTGGGATGACGTGTAGGATGACCTTGGACGTAGAAACCGGAAGATAGACAGTACTTGTTCAAGCTGTATGAGAAGAAGGAGAAAGGACCCCACAAGACATCCTGACCGTGACTGAGCAGGGATTAGAGTTCTGTACTCTTTACTGAAAGGTTGTAAGTTCAAGCCCATGCAGTAGACAGTCGTCCAGGATATATTACCTCAACTGTTCCAGACCATCCCACAGTAAAAATGAGCACCTGTGGTACTGGAGGCAGCTTGTGATGCACTAGTATCTCATCCAGAGGGATGTCAAATCCTCTCAGCGCACTCAAAGCTAAAGGGAGTTGAACCCCAGTCTAGCAAGCCTCCAGACACTAGTATGAGCACATACAGCTGTATATATCACAGTTACCAAGGCTGAACCTTAACAAGGCCTGTTGCACATGGACAGTGTATGTTACACACGTAGAAGATCCTCTTACCTCACTATCGTCTGTGATAACACCCATCCGGAAGTTTACTCCAATATCAAGTATAAAAATGGTGTCTGAAGCCAGGTTAAAGGCATCAAAGCCCCGCGAGCTTGGACTGCCGTCTAGAAAAGCAATTCCTATTGGGATTGCGATCAGGTTTAAGAAAGTCATGACCACCATTACCATGATATAGTAATTTCTGTAAAGCAAATACAAAAAATGTAATCAGATAAAAGCAACTGATAAGCGCCAGTTTCAAACCACACTTAAAGCTTACTTCAGCAACTGTTGAAATTGTATTACAGACAGAAGAGAGTGTGTCTCTTCATTGGCTGGATAATTGTTTTCTAATTGTGCTCAATCATTCGAAACCGAACAAAAACTGCTCCCAACATAAGGCTGTTCAGCTGAATGCAATGACTGCCGAGGAGAATGAATTACCTTGGATGGAAGAAGATAAAGGTATGAAACAAATATTCTCTAAGCTGATCCTGGGGAAAATCTGGAGATGTGGTTAAGAATGAGCGCTAAAACGGGAAAAACAAATCCCCACAAAGAAGAAAGACCAGCTCAGGAGGAGGCAGGTCAGGGAAGGCGAAAGACAAGCAAACTGTTCTGAGCGAGTAGCCCAAAAGGAAAGAATATCCTCCACAGAGGTTTAGCTTACTGGAACTGTTAACTGGAGTGTTGTACCTCAGGAGACTGGAAATACCGCTTAAATCATTCTCAAATGAAAACAAC